CAGCAGAAAGGAACAGAAACCCCTGCAAATATAAGGAGTGGGACATGAAACTTGGGAGTCTAAGAATTAGACACAACACTGTACATACTTGGTTACAACAAAAACACATGAAAACTATGTATGTTACATTAAATTGAGGAGAAAGGGTCAAATTTAGAATCACAATAAATTCCAGGTTAGTTACTCACAAGTAATAAGATTTTAGAAATTAGTAAATGTAAGGAATCACAAAATAAATTTAAAAGGTTAAACACAAAAGAGTTGAAATTTAGAGGTGTGAAAGAAAAAATAAGAAAAAGGGAAATGAAAGGGAAAGAAAGTGTTTCATACAAATAGGAAAGAACAAAGATTTGATAATGTATGTAGTAAAAGAGGGGAGTAAGGGGAAGAGGAAAAAGAAGGGAAAGAGGAAAGAATAAGGGTGTAATAAGGGAAAGGTATTAGTAAGTAAGGTTGTTTTTTTTTAGTGTTTTTTTTTCTTTTCTTTTTTTTATTTTTTTTTCTTTTCTCTCCTTCTGTTTTCCTTTCTTCTTCTCTTTCTCGTATCAGAGAGGGAGGAGGAGAGAAAAGTAGAAGAATAGATGTCATACAGCAGAAGAGAATGATGAAATAGGGAATGTTAAAGAAAAACGTAATTTTGGCTCTTTCAAAACGGGATGCAGCCTCCCCTGCCGGAACCTGAAAAAGGTTAAAGTGGGTATTAATACCCATCAAGGGAAGTGTTTTTTGACTCTTTTTAGAGTCGTAGGAATGTTAGGAAATAGACCCCAAGTGTTTGTAGACTTGAGGTTGTTTTATGTATGTTTTGTAATGGGTTTTGTTTTGTTTTTTGTTTTGTTTTTTTTTTGTTTTTTGGTTTTTTTTCGGGAGTTCATTAGACGGTCTAAAGAGAGAAAAAGGGAGAAAGAGAAAGAAGAGAGAAAAAAAAATGACATTATATGACAACGGTTAAATTAATTACGATAAATATTCAAGGATTAAATATCCCTCAAAAAAGACTAGCTTTTCAAGATTACTTTAAAAAAGAACAGGTTCAAATTGCGATGGTCCAAGAGACACATTGGCGTAAACAGGATGAAAAGAGATGGACCAGTAGTTCTTTTCCTTTAAAAATTTGTTCCTCTAGAGAGGAGGGGAAAAGGGGTGGAGTTGCAATATTTTTCGCAAAAGATTTAAAAATAAATATAAAATTCTTGGAGATAGATCTGGAGGGAAGATTTATTATACTGATAGCTACAATTAATGAGGAACTGTTTACACTAGTCAATGTTTATCTGCCAAATAAAAATCCTATAGGTCTACTGAGAAAAATATTAAATAAGGTTGAGATTATAGGAGTTGGATTAAAGATATATGCAGGGGATTTTAATAGTATTCAAGATCCCCTATTAGATAAGTTCTCGGAAAAACAACCTATTTGGGACAAGCAAGTTTTAAAGAACGCAAGGATTTTTAACAATTTGATGAAAAAAGAAGGTTTATATGATATATGGAGACTTAACAATCCTGCAGGGAAAGAATTTACGTTCTATTCCTGGCCCCATAATTCATATTCTCGAATAGACCTAATATTTGGAGATCTAAAACTAATAGATAAAACAGTTAAAATAGAAATTAAACCAGTAATATGGTCAGATCATGATAGTGTGAGCTTGGAATTTAATAGTAATAGAGTAAATAACAACAAGAATATAACATGGAGATTAGATGAAACACTATTATTAAGTAAGGAGCATAAAGATTATATAGACAAGATGATTATTTGTTATTTTGAAGAGAATGATAACGGATTAGTGGAAAATGATATTCTATGGTGCTCATTTAAAGCAGTAATAAGGGGATATTGTATAATGCTTAATAAACTTAAGAAAAAAAAGGAAGGTGTAAATATACAAAATCTTTATATGGAATTATATAAACTAAACAAACTTAATATTGATAACCCAATTAAAGATATTAAGTTAAAAATAGACAAAATTAAATCAGAAATACAGGAAAAAACTTATGAAAAAATAAAAAAAAATATGCTCAAACTTAAAATTAAATATTATCACAAATCTAATAGAGCGGATAAAATAATGACCAATTTGCTGAAAAAAAAAAATATGACCAATAAGGTTGATAAAATAATAACTAATGATAATATCTCCCTTTTACCAGAACAGATAGGGAATGCATTTAATGAGTACTATGCTAATCTATATAGTATTTCAGCAACTACTCCATCAGAAATAATAAAAAAATATATCAAGTCAGCCAAATTGAATAAAATAACAGAATCACAGATAAATAATCTAAATAAAGAGATTAGGGAAGAAGAGATCAAGATAACAATTGATAGATTAGAAACCTATAAAACGCCAGGTCCAGATGGATTTGGAAATAAATTCTATAAAATTATGCAACCTCACTTGATACAACATTTAAAAAATACTTTTAATTCCGCAGTTAAAAAGGGCAGATTTACTGAAGAAATGCTTAAAGCAAATATTTTACCTATATTGAAACCTGGGAAAGATCCTACTAGAGTACAGAGTTATCGCCCAATATCATTAATAAATGTGGATATCAAGATATTTTCTTCTATTATAGCTAGCAGAATAAAAGAAGTCATTAAGCAATTAATCCACCCTGATCAAATAGGTTTTGTACCAGACAGGATGTCAAGTAACAATATGAGACGTGTGATAAATGCATTAGATTTCTCACAAAAGGAAAAAAGTCCCATGCTGATCCTGTCTTTAGATGCTGAAAAAGCCTTTGACAGGGTCAGCTGGGATTTTATGAAGTTTACTTTAGAGGAATTAGGTATACAAGGTTGGTTGCTCAATGCTATTTTTGCTTTATATAAAGATCCAAAGGCGAGAACTATTGGCCCTGGTATATGTACAGATTGGTTCAAACTGAATAATGGGACCAGACAAGGCTGTCCTTTATCCCCTTTATTGTTTATATTAACACTAGAGGTTCTAGCTAACAGAATCAGAAATAATGAAAACATTAAGGGTGTTATAGCAAAACAGAAAGAAATGAAAATATCCCTTTATGCCGATGATACTATTCTTTTTTTGAAATCATCAATATCAATAACAAATGCAATGTCAGAAATTGATATATATAGTGCAGTATCAAATGATAAATTAAATAAAACAAAATCAACTGCCATATATATGAATATGACAAAGCAAGAAATAGATTCTTATCAAGAAACATACGGTTTTATTAAAGCTAAAATGTTTTTGTACTTGGGAATCAAAATTTGTAGAAAGGTAGAAAGTATCATGAGAATAAATTTTATGGATCTCCTTAAAGAGACTAATAAGAATTTGAAAGAATGGAGAAAATTAGAAGTATCTTGGGGAGGGAGAATAAACATTTTGAAATCATATGTTCTACCAAAATGGATTTACTTGTTCAGAATGCTTCCGTTAGAAATCCCGAATGCATGGCTCACAATGATTAATAAGGCTTTTTCTGATTTTGTATGGCGAGGAAAAAAACCTAGAGTTAAAAATGGAGTTTTAGCAAGAGGAATAAAGAAGGGAGGTCTAGGATTTCCAAATATAAGGAAATATTATGAAGCAGGAATTATTACGCATGTTATGGCTAGTCAAGTGATACAAAACAAAGAGGAAGTATGGTGGTGGTTGGAACTAGATTATAGCCAATTAAGAAGCAATTTAGAAGTAGTCTGGAGTACAAAAAAACGTAATCTGTCCAGATCGTATATTTTAGGACAGATTATTCCTATTTGGCAAAAAATAAGGAAAAAAATAGGTTTGGTAAATAAGATATTTGGCTTTCAAAATTTAGAAATAATAGAATTAAATATGGAGAGTATATCCTTAAAATTATGGAAAGAAAAAGGAATAAATATTTTGGAGGATCTATTTGAAGGAAATAAAATTAAATCTTATAAAAGGTTAGTTGAGGAATTTAAGTTCTCTGACAAAGATATTTTTACTTATTATAGAGTAAAACATTACTTGGAGAAAGTTGAGTTGGTAAAAGAAGGTAAGATGTATGATATTTTAAAAACAATCTTACATCAGAATAAGACAAAGCAATTGTTTTCTAGATGTGTTAGATTGTTGGATTTAATGGATGATTCTGTTCTGCCCACTGCCATTAAAAAATGGAACACTGAATTAAAAACAAATATTGAATTATCTGAATGGCTATGTATGGCACAAAAAATTAACAAATATGTCCACTCCTTTGTATTGATAGAAACACATTTTAAGTTGGTTAATCAATGGTATATGACGCCAACAAAAATAGCTAAATTTGATGTATCAAGGGACATTAAATGTTGGAAATGCAGGGAGGAAAAGGGAAATTATATTCATATGTGGTGGTCATGTAAACAAGTGATTGTTATATGGCAGTGGGCTCAAATTATCATTCATACACTGTGTGATGTCAAAATGCCTTTAAAACCTGAAGTTATGTTATTACATTATAAATGGCCAAAATTGAATAAAATAAATCAATTTTTAATTATTCATTGT